GACAAGGCAGACGTAAGCAGCTACATACGTCGAGACGATCAGGAAGGAAGGTACGTGCGCCGACAAACAGAAATTGAAGGGGAACGGGAACAGCAGTAGTACCAAAAAGAACACGTAGATCGAAGTTGACAAACACAACACAAGCCGACACGTATTGTACTCGTCACCGTTTATTGCATTCTCAAATTGGATTCCAAGCGGAAGGAAAAAACGAAAACGGATGGGGAAAAAATGATCGGTGGACTTGGAAAACAAGTTGCCAGAGACTAAACACCAATCTCGTCCTGTCTCACCAGAGTATAGTATAGTATCTAAACGAAAGGAGAAAATGAGAAATAGATGGTCCATCCATGTACATCTTTCAATTGATCTTATCGTGTAGATAGTTCTGGTGAGAGGGGAGTAGGTTGCTGCAAAGTCTCTCGTGACTTGTTCCCAAGTCCACCGATCATTTGTTTTTCGGACCATCTTTCGTTTGATCTTCTCGTCAAGATATGTTTGGGGTGTCGGCGCGTGTACTATGTTATCACGCTCGCGGGCTCTTGTCGAGAGCGTGTTGCACAAAGGAGTGACTCAAGTTCCTTGATTATTAGAAAGTTTAACGAGTGACAGACGTGAGCAAGAAGAGGCAAAGCCTGCTGCACCAAGTCTGTCTATCATACCCATATCTATCTCATCTGCGTAACCCCCTCGGAGATCTCGGAGAATTGTATCCTGCCGAGTACACACACAAACAGCCCCCCTACTCGGAACGAGATACGATCTACGAGATCCTCCGTACATATCGCCAGGTAAAACGGCAACAAATCTAAAAACCATTCATCTTTCGCATCCACAAATCATCTCAACTCCCGGATCTATCGAATATTCAAGTTTCAGGTTACTACTCCTCCTACGACTATGGAACTTCACGAAGAGTCTTAACAAGCACCCCTCTCGAGAAAACGTCGTCACCACATTCTCAAGCAGTCAAACACAAAGAATTATCCTTGGAAGAATACTCAGCAAAGATCAACATTACATCAGAGCCACGTCATAAGACTCTGGACGGACAACTCTGGCAAAACGCGTCAACAAATACCTCGAACAAAATCCTCGCACAAAACTGTGTTTCAACTCATTGACCAATTTGAAATAAGCTTCGGAAGCACATAGGCCTCAACCATGTCTTACCAAAATATGTCAAAT